GTCTGTAGGGGGCACTAATGTGTCAATTTGAATTAATTAACTTTCAAATGACCTAGACCTTAGAGTTGAACAATGTATTAAAGTTTTGTGCAAATCAGACTTTGTTTGTGCAAACGGGAGCACATTTAATGTTGTCAAAAACGGCCAAAAAAAGGTCACATTTTGCCGCTCCGCTGCTCAAACAATGTTTCACTGATCAAAAATCCCTGAGGTCATTTTGAAGGTACATGTGTTGAGATGATGTGGAGCGATTTTGAGGCGAATCGGTGAAACGGCTGAGGAGGAGTCGCTTTCCAACCGACATGTATGAAAACTTTTGCTGTTCATTTTTCCATTTTGCAGTGAAATTTATGGGCTTCCTGTTTGTCAGAGGGCGGGGCCATAATAATATTTTTTTCTTGTCTTGACTTGAGAAACATGTGTACCAAATTTCATGTTTCTACGACAAACTTGACCTCCGAAAAGTCCCATAGGGGTATTATTTTGGCTGTTGTAGGTGGCGCTGTTCTGTCATTCTTTGAGTCCCATAAAAATAAACACCAAAATATCAAATTTTTCGCCAGGTCTGATTTTTGGGCCAAAATTAACAACTTTTCATGCATGTTCAGGGGGTCAAATTAAGGCTCAAAGTGCAGAAGAAAAAAGAAAGAAAGAAATAAATTAAAGCCGCAAGCGGCGTCGAACGGCCCTCGCCGCACCGCGCGACTCCCTGGACCGCGCGCACTCCCCACACCAAGCCGCCCCGCACCAAGCCGCCCTGCACCAAGCCGCCCTGCACCATGCCGTCCCGCACCACGCCGCCCCGCACCAAGCCGCAATGCGCCGCTCCACACCGTACCACGCAGCACCGCTAAAAGGAGGTGGCACCGCCGTGTGATGATTTGTTTCCGTAGCCATAGAAGAACTTAGTCAAATTGTAATGAATATGATAAGTAGAGCTGGTTTGGCTCCCCATGTAAACTTTGACACAGTCTGTAGGGGGCGCTAATGGGCCAATTTCCAATATTTCACTTTAACCTGACCTAAACCCTGGAATTGAACAATGGATTAAAGTTTTGTGCAAATCAGACTTTGTTTGTGCAAACAGGAGCAAAATTAATGTTGTCAAAAAGAGCAAAAAAAACCTCACATTTTGCCGCTCCGCTGCTCAAACAACGTTTAACGGATCAAAATTCCCTGAAGTCAGTTTGAAGGTACATGTGTTGAGATGATGTGGAGCGATTTTGAGGCGAATCAGTGAAACGGCCGAGGCTGGTTTGATGTTTGTGTGAGGTGTACATTTGCAATGAATGGGGAGCGTTTCTCGTCGCCACGGCAACAGGGTAAAAAATAAGCCTTGGACCCTATTGACTTTTTGAATCAAGAGGGAAAAACGGATTCATGTGCAAAATTTCAAACATTTTGAAAAAACTAAATTTGAAAATGCCCATCTAAAACTTTGAAATAGTCTGTAGGGGGCGCTAATGTGTCAATTTGAATTAATTCACCTTCAAACGACTTAGACCGTAGAGTTGAACAATGTATTAAAGTTTTGTGCAAATCAGACTTTGTTTGTGCAAACGGGAGCAAATTTAATGTTGTCAAAAACGGCCAAAATAAGGTCACATTTTTCGCTCCACTGCTCGAACAATGTTTCACTGATCAAAAATCCCTGAGGTCATTTTGAAGGTACATGTGTTGAGATGATGTGGAGCGATTTTGAGGCGAATCGGTGAAACGGCCGAGGAGGAGTCGCTTTCCAAGCGACATGTATGAAAATGATTGGTTTTCATGTTTCCATTTTGCAATGAAATTTATGAGCTTCCTGTTTGTCAGAGGGCTTAGCCATAATAACATTTTTTCCATGTCTTGACTTGAGGAACATGTGTACCAAATTACATGGTTCTACGGCAATTTTGACCTTGAACTCCTCCCATAGGCATTTTTAAATTGGCTGTTGTAGGTGGCGCTATAGAGCCAATTTCAAAATTTGAACTTTCAATTGACCTAGACTCAAGAGTTGAACCATGGATTCAAGTTTTGTGCCAATCACACTTTGTTTGTGCAAACGGAAAAAAATATTCTATTGTCAAAAACTGAAAAAAAATACGCCACTTTTTGGCGCTCTGCTGCTCAAACAACGTTTCACTGATCAAAATTCCCTGAAGTCATTTTGATGGTACATGTGTTGAGATGATGTGGAGCGATTTTGAGGCGAATCGGTGAAACGGCCGAGGCTGGTTTGATGTTTGTGTGAGGTGTACATTTGCAATGAATGGGGAGCGTTTGTCGTCGCCACGGCAACAGGGTAAAAAATAAGCCTTGGACCCAATTGACTTTTTGAATCAAGAGGGCAAAACAGATTTATGTGCAAAATTTCAAACATTTTGAAAAAACTAAATTTGAAAATGCCCATCTAAAACTTTGAAATAGTCTGTAGGGGGCGCTAATGTGTCAATTTGAATACATTCACTTTCAAATGACCTAGACCCTAGAGTTGAACAATGTATTAAAGTTTTGTGCAAATCAGACTTTGTATGTTGCAAACGGGAGCAAATTTAATGTTGTCAAAAACGGCCAAAAAAAGGTCACATTTTGCCGCTCCGCTGCTCAAACAATGTTTCACTGATCAAAAATCCCTGAGGTCATTTTGAAGGTACATGTGTTGAGATGATGAGCCGTTTTACAAGCGCATTGAGAGAGTTTGGTCGATATGACGCTAATGTGTCCTAGAGGTAGAAGACAGCCCTGTGTTAAAGTCAATTTTATATTGGATATTCGACACATTCAACACATTAAAAACAATCTATTTGGCCTTTTGCCCTTTTGAAAGTTTGATTTCAAAACACATTGGGTTTATGCCTACTGGTCCCGCACACAGATATACCATTTATGGTGTTATATGTTAAAAGACAGATTTCTCTACTTACAAAACACATAATTATAAATGCGGATGTTGCTGCCTCTGTTTCAGGATGGTGTCTCCACATCTGTCTCTTCTTGCCCTCCTCCTCCTTCAGTCTCGTCTTGCACAGTCCTACACTTTTCACAACTGCACTTTTCTCTTTGACAGTCCAAACATTTTTCTTTGTAATGGTGACACATTAACCACGATTCCCTCTGAGATTCCCCCTTCAGTTGTGAAACTTTACATTAGATTCACTCATATTCAGAAAATCCAACAAAATGACTTCCATAGACTCAACAAACTCCAGATCTTAGGTCTTTCTGACTCTCAGATCTCTCATATCGACGACTCTGTGTTTTCTCATTTATCAAGTTTGACTGAACTAGATTTATCGTGCAACAGACTCAGGAAGCTGACGGCCCACATGTTCAAGGGGCTTTTCAATGTCACTCTCCTAGATTTAAACAATAATCAAATAGAATCAATTTCAGAGTTTGCGTTTAGTCCTTTCATGAACTTGCATTACTTGAATTTGTCGGGAAACCTTCTGTCTCGCACCAGTGTCATCGTGAACACTGCTTTATCGTGTCCATGGCTCCTAAGTTTAAACCTGGGAAACAACAGTTTCACTTCATTTGAATCAGAAAGTTTCCAGTTTGTTTTGAACATCACAGAGTTGAACTTCAGTGGTCAACCTCTGCAGCGCTTCATTCTTCATTCTGACATCTTTCCGCATCTAGAGTCGCTTCATTTGTTTCAAATAACCTCTGACTTTGAGTGGGACGTGTCACACAAACACTTTCTCAGAAATCTAAAGACTCTGGATTTGGAATTCACAAACTTTACAATTGAAACATATACATCCATCTTCAGCAGTGTAGATTCACTGGAGAACCTTAGCCTCAGGAATGTTCGTCTGGTAGATAGACTTGTAGACTTAGCCTGCAGAATTCAGTCTTTGCAGAAGTTAGATTTAGGAGGTAATGCTATTTCTTATTTAAATGATTCCCTGCTTCAACTGTGCATTAGTCTCACAGAGCTGGATCTTTCCTTCAACCCAATGTTGAACTTATCTGAGTCGTCTTTTCGGATGATGACACGTCTGTCAAAAGTCTACTTGCAATTGAATCACTTAAGTTCAGTTCCACTGACCATCAGAAACATGTCGTCTCTCACAACTTTAATATTTTTCAGAAACCTCATTAAAAAACTGCACTGTTTGGATTTTTCTAATCTGTATAATTTAAGGAAACTCAACCTGAACGATAATAAGCTTGTTGAGCTGTATAGCTGTGTGTTTCAGGATCTCCACAGCCTGGAGCGGCTTGATCTGAATAATAACTTTCTTCTCCAGTTCGACAATAGTTTTGGGACCAGTTTGCCCAATCTGTTGATGTTAGATGCAAACAACAACAATCTCGTCTGGCTTCAAAAAGGAGTTTTCAAAAACATGTTGCACCTGAAGTGGCTTTTTCTAGACACAGTGAGAGGGACGGAGGTGGAGGCGGGGGCCTGGGAAGGACTGACTGACCTTACTGATCTGAGTTACCGCCCTTCATACCTTTTGCAGGATGGCTTCAACCTTCCGTCTCTGCAAAAGTTAATAATCACAGTTTCTCTGGATGTTTGTTTGATATTTCAATCTGAAGATTTACTCAGAGGTTTGAAGAATATAAAAGAATTCGCATCAGTTCATTTGTTCTGTAAAACTCCTCATAAAGAAACATTTCGGCACACCCCCCTTTTGAGAGCTCTAGCTTTTAACGCATATGACGACTTGAGACTTGATCCTGAGATTTTTCATCCCATTGGACATTTGCAAACTCTGACAATGGAGAATAGCCACCTTAAATCCTTGGATTTTCTCTCCCAGGCCAATCTGACTGAGCTGCAAAGTTTGTATTTAACAAACAATGATCTGAGTGTAATGAATGAGACTGTTTTTAAGGCACTCCCTTCTCTGAAATACATTCAGTTATCCAAAAATCCTTTTGAGTGTAACTGTTCCAACGCAGGCTTCATCCTGTGGGCGCCCTCCAACAAGCAGGTCTTTGTGGACAGGGCTTTTCAGTACAAATGTGCTTCTCCTCCGTCTCACAGGGGACTCCCTCTGATGGAGTTTGATGTGGACTCATGTTTGGAGTTCACAGGTTTATATTTCTTCCTATCCAGCTCTGTCCTGGTCCTTCTCACTCTCCTCTCATACTTTATCCACCACTTCCTCCGCTGGCAGCTGTTGTATGGCTTCTATCTGCTCAGAGCGTATGTTTACCATGTCCAAAAGAGGAGGCAGGGCTGTGGGGACACCTTCGACGCCTTTGTGTCCTACAACGTTCACGATGAGGACTGGGTTTACAGAGAGCTGGTGCCAGAGCTGGAGGAGCGCCAGGGCTGGAGGCTGTGTCTGCACCACCGCGACTTCCAGCCAGGTAAATGTAACTTTGGTACTTGAATAACACACGCAGAACCACAGCTCTGAATGGCATGTTCAACAGAATATTAGTTTAAAGACCTTATGCCGGGTTTAAAAAAAAAAAAATTTGGATATCAAAATTGCATGACAATGTCAATCTGAAAGAGATTCCGGCAAAAAAAATCCTATATTTTATAAAAAGAACGTGTTTTTCATGAATTTAAGTTGTCTATGCTCTAACCTGTGTGTGACGTCATAGCGGGTGACGCCCATGCATTGAAAACCATGGATCTATGCCACAGGACTGCCTTTTCTCTCTTCTCTCCACTGATGCCCAACACAATACTGCCCTCTACAGGTGACAATTGCTCACTACACACACATTGCCCTTTTGAGAGTGTCTGAGGTGGGATTTGTACCCAAATATCTGGATTGGCAGTCCATCGACACAACCACTGGACTATCTCAGTGACAACAAAATGTTACATTCTAGTATTTATCTCATACTCGCTGTACACAGCCTTGTCATCTTGAATATCCGCGAAAAAAGAACGAATACCAAATTGTAAACAACTTACAGCGTTGAAACGTACCCACTCTGACATCACCAAGGGCTGTGAAGTTTTTTCGTCTCTAAGGGCGTTGCTATGGGGTTATTTCGATTTGGGGGGATCAGACAAAAAAAATAAATAAACTGATTTTGAAACCTTTAGTAGTTCTCTTCTAATATAAAATGGTATTAAAACTGTATTTCTAAATAAATCAAACCCGGCATAAGGTCTTTAAGATTCATCTTGTCTTCTTACTTTCAGCAAAATATTGTACAAAACAATTTTTTTCTGATAATTCTGAAGACTAAAGGTTAAAGATATGAATGATTATTATATGACATGGACCATACACGCACTCTGATTGGCTGATTTGCGGTCTGATCTTTCCATCTCGGACCTTTACCATGACGATCGGTCCGCAGCGCGTATCACACTAAAAACACGATAAGGAAAACCAAGTCGGACATGAACATACTTCACAAATATCTCAAAAGCATCAGTAGAGACACAGAAGAGAGTCATATAATAAAACATGTATTAACCTCGCTTGCTCGGTCTGTACAGAGAAATATCAGATCGCGGCCTTTTTGTACTGTGCAAAAAGGCCAAGGTACAGACCTCGCGCTCGTTTAATAAGTCGTTAATATACACAAACCAGACCCAACACCCAACCGCTTTTGTCAACCCAGCCGAGATGACAACTGATCACTGCATGAATGTTCTGCGACTTCACCTACGGGCAGGAGGGTAAAGCCGCTTAGGGGTCCTGCATACACCACCCCCAGGGGAGTGCGCAGTCACAGAACGTTCATGGGGCTTATAAAGTTGGCTGATGTTGTAGCGCTCTGTCCAGAAACAGGTTCTCAACTGACCTGGTAAAGGTAGAACTTCCACGTGCATAATAATAATAATAATACATTTTATTTATAATGCACTTTACATTTCAGGGAAACCTCAGAGTGCTACAAAAACAGGGAACATCCCCAAGATACACAACATAAAAACAATACATCAAATATAACATCAGGAAAAAATAAAAACATAAAAACATAATTACTGTACATATCTGCACCTTCTCCACCGACTCCCACTGATGACTGCTGTCGTTGTGTCCTTGGGCAAGACACTTAACCCAACTTTGCCCAAAGCCCCCACTGAAAGATCAAGGCTATGCTCACACTCAGAGAGCAGCCGTCCTCCTGTGGACTCACCACCTGCAGAGGGTCAGTGAGGGGCTGGTGCTGTGAGACTTGGGTGGCATCTCTGACTGCCACCCCCCTGACCCAGAAATGGATTAAAGGGTAGAAAATGGATGGATGGATGGATGGATGGATCTAGAAGGCCTGTTTGAATAGGAATGTCTTTAGGCCTTTCTTAAAAGCCTCCACACTTTGTGGGGCCCTGAGGGTTTCTGGGAGGGCATTCCAGAGCCGGGGGGCTACTGCCTGAAAGGCCCTATCTCCCATGGTGGAGAGTTTGGTCCTGGGTTGGTGCAGGCAGTGGGAGGAGGTGGTTGAACGGAGACTTCGAGACGTGCATCACTGTAAGTTTGTACATGACTCTTTGATTCTAGTGTGTGCTTTAAAAACAGGGTCCAAAACTGCTATGGCCTTGTTTAGCTGAAATAAAGATGATAAAGGCGTAGGGACCAACCCAGCTTGCATATTCTGTTCACAACGTAACATAAATGCGTCTCATATCAACCGATGGATTTGTTCAGGGAGAGCCATCATAGAGAACATCACAGATGCCATCTACAGCAGAAAGACTCTGTGTGTGATCAGCCAGCGATACCTGCAGAGCGAGTGGTGCTCCACAGAGATTCAGATGGCCAGGTAAGCCACGAGTCCAGACCAAAGCTAGCTTAATTTGGTATTAGTTTATAGTAGTTCCCAAGGAAGCAATATTTGATTAGCACCGCTGATATAGCGGGAGTTTGTTGCACTAAAGTGTGGATTTATAGAAAATGGGACTTTTTTTAAAAATACTAAAAGTTCAGTGACAGTGGCTGAGTTGGTAGAGCATTGGACTTTGAGCCAATATTATCATTGGGCAAGACACTTAACCCCACTTTGCCTGAAGCCCCCACTGAAAGATCAGCCATCCTCCTGTAGACTCAACAGCTGGAGGAGGATCAGTGATGAGAAGGGACATAAAGAAAACACTGTCATCTCAGGACAAGCTGTTTTACAACAGATTGTGGCACAGCCTTGTGGATGGGTGACACAGTGGCTGAGTGGATAATACTTTCGCTTCTCAGCATGAAGGTACAGGATTCGAATCCCAATAAGAACTGGGCCTTTCTGAGTGGAGTTTTCATGTTATCCCTGTGTCTATTAGAAGTTAGGTTTGCCAGCTTTAAGTCCTGTCACGTCTCTGCTTTGCAGCTTTCGTCTGTTGGATGAGCAGAAGGACGTCCTGATCCTATTGTTTCTGGAGGAGCTGTTGTCCAATCAGCTGAGCCCGTTCTACCGCATGCGAAGGCTGCTGAGGAGGCGCACGTACCTGAGCTGGAGTCAGGCCCGGAGCCACAGGGGCCTCTTCTGGGAGAGGGTCCGGAGAGCGCTGCAGTGTGGAACCCAGCTCTGCACCAACCCACTGCCAGGGATGCCAACTAGCACGGAAAAATAAGAGACACCATTTGGATGGACTGGTTTGAGCTCTTTACACTTAATTGTCCTAATTTCAATCTACACAGGAATCATGGAATTTCATATGTGGACATTGATCTAGGTTGAAACTGGCTTTTCATTTGACCCATGTACAAACTCCCGATTTGAATGTTTGCTCCCTCTTTAAGCCATTTTTCTTTTTTCTGCTTTTGGCGCTTGTTGCTGGCATTCCATTTTAAAAAGACGACAGAATCTGATATTTCTTCACTAAGCAGTAAACCAGCAACTTCTTTTGCAGCTTTATCAGCGGTTGGTCTTTCCTATTGAGAACTTTGTCTGTCCCTCTTGTGTGAGCCCACATTTACAAAACAGCAACGTTTGTGGAAACATAATTGCTTTGAGTAAATTCTTTAATAATGTTGCATGTTTTTACTTCTTTCCCCGCCAGAAGGTTTGATAACCACGATGATTATACGCATGGCGCCATGGCAAGAGCTCGATGTGTGTCTCTTGTGCACACTGGGTAGTCCGGCACAGTTTTTCCTATGGTGTTTTACTAGCAAATGGCAAATAAAATGAATCTGAATCTGATGTTTCCATTTGTTGACAAAACAAATGAACTGCAAGCAAATGCAATTGACTATCGGTGTAACCGTGATCATCTTATATTTAAACACTTCACAAGCTCCTTGTTAGGGGGGCTACTAATTCTGCTCTTGTGCAGATAAGTTACTTGGAAGTGATTTTGCTTCAATTGTTTTGTCACAGTGGTCACAGCGTATCTTACAATGGTTTCTCCCAAATACATCTTTTCCCTGCGAGCCATCAACAAACACAGTACTCCTACTCAGAGAGTGGCATGTCCTTTATATACAAGTGCCTTGCGAATGTAACCGGCCCCCTTGAACCTTTCAACATTTCGCCACATTCCAGGCTTCAAATATAAAGATATAACATTTTACTGTGCAAGCAGATAAATTATATTGAGTGGGGCACTGTGGAAGAAGAGTATCGACCATACTGCAAATCTACCAAGACCTGGCCGTCCCTCCAAACTTTCATCTCACAACAAGGAGAAGACTGATCAGAGATGCAGCCAAGAGGCCCATGATCACTCTGGATGAACGCAGATAACTACAGCTGAGGTGGGAGAGTCTGTCCATAGGAACAACAAATCAAGTCGAGCACTGCACAAATCTGGCCTTTATGGAAGAGTGGCAAGAAGAAAGCATTTCTCAAAGATATCCATAAAAAGTCTTGTTTAAAGTTTGCCACAAGCCACCTGGGAGACACACAAACATGTGGGAAGAAGGTGCTCTGGTCAGATGAAACCAAAATCAAACTTTTTGGCCACAATGCAAAACGATATGTTTTGGCGTAAAAGCAACACAGCTCATCACCCTGAAACACACCATCCCCACTGTCAAACATGGGTGGTGGCAGCATCATGCTTTGGGCCTGCTTTTCTTCAGCAGGGACAGGGAAGCTGGCTAAAATTGATGGGGAAGAAGGATGGAGCCAAATACAGGACCATTCTGGAAGAAAACCTGTTGGAGTCTGCAAAAGACCTGAGACTGGGACGGAGATTTATCTTCCAACAGGACAATGAACCAAAACATAAAGCCAAATCTACAATGGAATGGTTCACAAATAGACGTATCCAGGTGTTAGAATGGCCAAGTCAAAGTCCAGACCTGAAAGCCAATCGGAGAATCTGTGGAAAGAGCTGAAGACTGCTGTTTCACAAACGGTCTCCATCCAACCTCACTGAAGCTCTGAGCTGTTTTGCAAGGAAGAATGGAAATTCCAGTCTCTCGATGTGCAAAACAATAGACATACCCCAAGCGACTTGCAGCTGTAATTTCAGCAAAAAGTGCGCTACAGAGTAATTAGCGCAAGGGGGCCAAATAATATTGCACGCCCCACTTTCAGTTTATGTTTAAAAAAGTTATATAATCCAATAAATTTCGTTCCACTTCACGATTGTGTCCCACTTGTTGTTTATTCTGACAAATAATGTAATTTTTATGTCTTATGTTTTGGAAGCCTTAAATGTGGCGAAATGTTGAAAGGTCAAGGGGGCCAAATACTTTCGCAAGCACTGTATCTGGTCTAGACGGAAGTTCTTTATATGCGTCCTGAACCAGTCATGTGCTAAGCATCTCCTACGTAGGAATTAGAGTTGATGGGTATTTGAATGTATAACATCTTTCTATGTCCACATGTGGTGTGACAGCAGAAGAGGTCAATCAGGAAAGGTGACTGGCCTGGTGACAGGAAATGTCATGCTTTTGTTGCAAAAGTAGCAATTGACCGCAAGTGGTACTTCAATAGGTCAATAGTGAAACAGATTGACTTCAGCAGATGCCTGGCCAGCGAACTGCGCAGCCAAAACCGCCTGGACACAACTGGAGTCCGCTCTGGCCACTGGATCGAGCCTTGAAGAGTGAAAAGCAATTGGTCCTTTGTTTTTGAACCCCATTATTGAGTTAATACTGATCGTCATGAATCCATTTTTTCAGTCAAACTGTCTGTTCAAAAGGATTAGAATAGTCCGTCAAAGCTAAAACTGTTGACTACATAATTTCCATTAATTTTACTAATGTATGACTGCTTCATCGTCCAATGAATGTTTTTCTTTAGGTGACATTGTCTTAACAAAAATTAGAAATTGTAATTGCTTACTAATCTGCATTATTTGCTACCCATGAGCCGCAGTAATTAAATAGCCCCAAAAATGACATCTCTGTTTTTTAGTTTGGTGTCTAGGTGCAGCTAAGTAGAAGCTTTCCTTTCCCCACGGATTAACCTACCCGTTTTTGGTTTAAAGTATGACCTAGGGTAATATTAACTATCTGTCTTCCCATAACTGTATTTAATTTGTTGCTGACTTTAAAGCCAGATTAGCCAAATATTTTAGTAAAGCAATAGTATCTTTTACAGCTCTCAACTGTCTTTGACGCCACCAAAATGTCATCCACATAGCTCAAATTTGGCTTCCCTCTGGTGGATTAAACTCAGCAAGACATTATTTTATTGCTCAGAGAAAATTGTAAGGTGATTCATTAAAACGCCATGGCATAACCCTATTGAACCCGTCTGCATCGGCGCCGATGGCAAGCACACATGTTTTACAAATTATCAATTTACACGCGAACGTTATAACGTAGCAACATACTTTTTTTTCCTCTGTATAACTGGGCAGATGGGATGTTTGTTGTAGAGAAAATCAGATTCTTGTTCAGTAATCCATTTCTGAGACTTTGCTTGTTGGAGGTATGCAAATAGTTGTTTCTGAAAGGGCACCGTGGGGTCATGCTCAAGTTTTTTATAGACACGGGCATCCGACAGCTGAGATAAAATCTCCTGTCTGTATTTGTTAACGTCTTGGATGCAGATAACGCCCCCTTTGTCCGCTGGTTTAATCACAATGTCTTTATCATTCATTAATTCTTTTAGGGCTGTTTTCTCGTCTTTTGACAGTTTTCTCGTCTTTTGACAGATTAGAATATGTACGTAGTGGAATTTTGTAAAAAGTATAATAGTTAGAGATTCAATTTTTTTCCCCATTATCCCCAAGTCTCTAAATAACATTTCTATGCAGTGTAAAAAGTTGTTTATAGCATTTCATTGTGTTTTTTCAATACATTTTTGTTAAATTGATTTTCCGTTTGATTTTTTTCTTTGTCTTCATGATTCCATAATTTTTATATAATTCATATGACAGCTTTACAATATGAATATTCTAAAACCCCAGGTTGTACTGAAAAAACAAAGTATACTGCTTGACTCTGCATCAAAAGATGACTGTTTTATGAACAATTATACACAAAGAAAACCAGGCGAGGAAAGTTCCCCAAAATGAACCATGTGCATAGAGGGTTAAAAAGCATGTGCTAAGATGAGTCTATGAGTCTCATATTCATTCATTCATAGTCTATGAGACTATGAATCATAAAGGAGAGAATGACTGAGTTGGAACTGAGAGCTGTGATGCAGAAGCCCAGTTTTCAAATCACAGAGGATTTAGTTTACAAATGAGCGAGAACCTTCTCAACAGACAAACCATTTTACCGTTGTAATCTTTTTCTGCTGGTGTCTAAAAGTAGAGCTAGTTCTTTCATCACCGAAAGCACAAGCTCTACTCCAAACTGGTTTTTTTGATTATTTAAAGTTTTTGGCACTGTCAAACGTAATGGAGATAGAGAGGCTCTTTGTGTTCCACAGAGGGAAAATGTTAGTTTTGATTTACACATTGCTGTAGGAATAGAATTTTCACTCGAATCAGTCAAAATGATAGACTGTTGCGAATATTAGTTGGAGTACGTAAAATATTGATGCTTATAAATCGTATTTGTATGAAACTATAATTTCACTTGTGCATTTACCTTAGAAGTAGTAGCAGCAGTTAGGGCTCCAGACTACAGTGATGGCTGCCATTTTCTAGGATATGGAAGAAATAAATAAATAAATATGGGTGTAAAAAGTGACGATTTTATTCAGGCTGTGACAAGTTAGTCGGTTAATGGTAACTAACTACTAACTACATTTGTCAACTAATTTAGGATGTGATTCATTGTCTTTCTTTGCTTTTCACCTTAAAAATATTAGTCAAATAAATGACATAACTGCAGTATGGAAATGTATTTTATAAGGTATTTACAATGTATAACAATCCACAGAACACAGACGATCTCTGTTCTTCAGGCAATGCACTTGAGCTTTGTTTTTGTCAAATGTGTAAAACATTTGCATATTCTGAGATTTTAAGATCCAAACAAATAACTGATCAATCGGCAAAAGCATAATCCCAGAGATCGGGTTGTAAAAGCAGAAGCAGTTCTTGTTTTGTACTTTTAAAAAGTCTAACCCAATGTTTTTCTTTTCCTTTCAGGTGAATGTAGCCACACAGTGCGACCCTCTGGAAGTCATAGAGCTCTCGGACTCTGAGTGAACTCTTTTTTTTTTTAGTAATATTTTTTTTTTAAAGGTCTTCTTAATCACTTTGAGATGCATTTC